GTGCTGTCAGAGCTTTCAATTTAATTTTTGTTTTGAATGGTGCTCTAAAATCTGGTCAAAAACATATTGCCGCACAAATGTCTGCACAGGTTCTAGAGGATTTTTCGAGTTTGTGTCCATGGTAAACATAAGAATACAGGTTTCTGTAAGCACAGGTCATGGAAGTTTAGGGCCTTTGTTTTCTCAACCATTTGAAAGAAAAATAATCTGCCTCTTACGGACTTTCCACTTGGCAAACTTGAAAGAAGTAATAAAGCTGTTATTCTTGGCTTGCTGCTTGCCTGTTCTGAGTTTAGTAATGAGCCGGTACCTGGATGGTTTCTCTTACAGTCCGTCTTTTGTTCCTGGGTTGTTTTTTTTAACAGCAAAGTTATGATCTAATGGGTTTTAGATGTGGAGACTGTTAATTCTTTAATATTAAACTTGAAAAATGAATTGTTTTTTTAATATTCTGAAGTTAGAGCTTGATCAGGCAAGGCTACAGTAGTTAACTATGTAAAATCTGCCTGGTCACCATCAAGCTGAAACTCTGTGTTGGATCCAGGTCTGTGGTCTCATTTAGATCATTAAAAAGAAGTCTTTAATTGCATTTTTGTAAGAGGCTTTTTGGGGTGGAGAAGCTGTGAGCCCTTAATAGTTTAGCTCTTGAAACTGAGGAATCGTGAATTCAAGAATCAAAAAGATAGAGAACCCAATCAAGAATTCTCAAGTTTTTATTGGATTTGAGAATAATAAACTGTTCTGCATAATTGTTTCCTGTGAATCTTTGCAGAGATGGAGGTAAAAGTTATTTACCAAATAAAGATTGGTGCACCTGATGATAGTTAAGGCATGATTTTGAACTTAGAGGAAACATATCTATTACTCTTTGATTCATCCATGTTTTTGTTAATGGTCACAGTTGGCCAACATACTTTCTTGAGCTTGGTAAAGACATACTTGTTTATTCCATTCTAGAAAAATCGCTGCTTATATGTATTTGGTGGCCAGAGATCGAAGACTTATTTGAACGACTTCTTCAGTTATGATGTAGACAGCGACCATGTGGATATCATATCAGACGGCACTAAGAAAGATTCAGGGATGGGTAAGAATATAACT